TAGCAACTCCCAGGCCCCCCTGCAACCTAGGACACCTGAGGTCGAGAGCCACCCCAAATACACTGTAAATGCCTCGCTGTAAAATGTGAAGAACATAAGTAGTGGTCCAGTTGGGTCTGGCACTTTAAAGTCAGGCTGAAGAAAAGCCCATCTGGATAGCTGCATATAGAGACCAGTTCAGGAGGGATGCTGCAAGAATCTTGATTAAAGGAAAAAAACTTAATGGGCAAAAAGGTTATTTTTCTCAGCGGAGCACAGAAAAGGCATTATCCTCCTTGAACCGTCAGGAAAAAAAAACACATTATGGGTGTAGGAGTGGTCATACTAGGTCAGCACACAATGTTATTATTTTTTTGGGGGGTCCTCCTGTGGGCAGCAGTATAACCTGAAAGTCTAAATTCCTGTGTCTTGAAGTTAACAAAAAAGGAAAAGTATTTTATGGTCAGTGCAAAAATCCTGTTTATGGTGCACCTGGAATATATTGAATGCAAATAAAAGCCGAAAGTTCAAATGGGCTTTAATAGCTTAATCGTTAAAATGTGTAATGCTTTTCTGAATGATAGAGGAACTTGTAAGTCGAGGTGGTTTTTTTCTTTTCACAATATTCGAATGCTTTAAAGTTCTTCTGTTGTGTAAAATATACAGGAATATACATCTGTGGCATATGTGTTCTTCTAAGTGTTTGGATGCATGTTGCAGGCTTGCTTTTAGGCTGCGTATTAATCTGGGTTTGGCTTATCCATCTAGCATGATGACCGAGATGATGGAGTGGATTACTGGGCAAGAAGAGCAAGGGGTCGTGGCAACTTCCAACGTGGGAGGGGACGGTTTCCCTTTAAAAAGTCTGGAAGCAGTCCAAAATGGACCCATGACAAATACCAAGGAGATGGTCTTATAGAAGATGAGGATGAAGTATTGGAAGATAGGCGCAAAGAGGAGAAGGTAGATGATGAGGGTGTTTTTGGATAATGTTGGCTTCCTGTAGCTGCTTGTAAGACTAAATGTCTTACTTAACTGCAAGGATTGCAACAATTGCAACTTACGGTGTTAGTCAGTCATGCCTGACTCTCAAAACCACAGCTTGTATTAGGGATGCACCTATACCGTTTTTTTACTATAGAGTATGAGTACCGATATTTATATTTCGGTACTTGCCTATACCTGTACTGCCGGTAGCATTTTGATTGCCCGGGAAGCTGACTTCATTCTGTTTGGCTGGCTTGATGCTGATTGGCCAGGAAGCTGGCTTCCCAGCCAATCGGCATCAAGGCCAGCCAAACAGATCTGACAATAGGGTGACACGACCCCCACCATGCAGAGGCACCTCACGTAGATCCTTAGCAGCAGTCATTACCGTATCAGTCCCTCAGCCAGCTGGGCAGACACTGCTCTCCAAGATCTGCCAATGTCTCTTGTGTGTACAGCGCCCACGTGATCGGCCCTCAGCCTACTACTGCGCATGCGCAGACTGCCCAGCGCTCTCATTCAGAAATCCTGTGCATGCACAGTAGCAGGCTGAGGGCTGATCATGTGGGCACTGTGCACACAGGAGACGTGGGCCAATCCCGGAGAGCTTGGAGAGCAATGTCTGCCCAGCTGGCCAAGGGACTTATTGGGAATGATTTGTCTGCAGGGTGGGGGTCGTGTCGCCATATCAGATTTGTTTGCCCGGCTTGACACTGATTGGCTGGGAAGCCGGCTTCCCGGCCAAACAGCATGTTCCCTCACGGCACTGCCGTTCAGAGGAAATCTCCCTCTGACCAGAAGTTCCAGTATCGGGAAAGGTATCGGAGCATTTGAGCTAGTATGAGTACTCGCCCAAATACTCAGTATTGGCACCGATACTAGTATCGGTGCATCCCTAGCTTGTATTTTCTGAGCCAGAAGTTTTTTGGGTAGACACGAATCTATACATGCAAAATGGCAGTATATTCCCTCAGTGGGATATTGATTATAAAAAAAAAAAATAAAAAAAAAATAGCCACTAGAGTTTATAGAAGGATCGACTCAAAACCTCTCACTATTTCCACAAAACTGTGTGTAGACAGGAAGTGAAGCAGCATAAAGGAATTGGGTTGAGAATGTTATTAATGGGTCCACCACTCCTGGTGTGTGTGTGTGTGTGTGTGTGTGCGCGCGCGTGTAAAATCCATAACCATGAAAGAACATGGAATGTTGAATACACCTGTTTTATACAAGCTATTGTAATAATGTCATGAATTTTATCCTGTAAGATGAAAACTGACACACACAAAAATGGTGTCTTATATTTTTTTTTTTTTTCTTTCTCATTGTAGGAATGATGTATTTAAAGAGATGAAACCACAGAAGTTATGTTTTTATTTTTCCAATTTGTCTAATGTGATCAACAGACAAAATCCTATTTTCATTCTGTTGCCACATGAAAAATCAACAGTTTTAAAAAAAATAAATTTTTCTGTAGTGTGATTGTACACCAAGACTCCAGAAGAAACTGATCAGTCTGATTGTTTAAACTGTCCACTTTTAAGAATCTGCTTTTACGTGTCTGGTTTGATTGTTTTTGCCATGGCTTATCAGATTGTGGATCCCCCCCCCCCCTCTCTGTTGGTTAATATTTTTAGAGTAAAGATTTTTTTTTTTGCAAACAATTACAAAGTTTGTAATTGTAAAAGATTGTTAAAAATATACACACTAGATGTATGGATGTTCATTTGCGTCACTTTTATTGTTATTGAATTTCAAGTATTAACAGAAATTAAAATAAGATGCATGGAAAAATCTTTTAACAAGCCCATGACCTAAGATATAGGGACCAGAATGAAGTGGTTCATTCGAGATGATCTATAGAATGACAAAATTGGGAAAGAGCTGGATTTAAATTTCAATTTAATATGCAGCCATGCTTGATCTAGCCATGTGGACATTTAAGTGGTTTGGTTTTGATTATTTAAAAATTGGAGTATATTACACGAATAAACACTTCCACTGCTACAAATGTCAATTTTAGGGCTATTTTTTAAACAAATAGAACAATGTTCTTTTATTGCTTTTCACATAAAAAAAAAAAGTATACAAAATATGTCACTCAATTCTGCTGCCCAGCAAAGAGAACCTAACTATCCGTTCCAACATTTAGAATAAATGTGGTGCACTTATTTGTAACATTTGTTTTTAAATATGTGAAGGTACACCACCCCATCAAGTCATCTTGGTAAGTTGGGTTGTTTTCTAATCTAGAGGAGAACCTGAATTTGAAATCGATAAACTGAGATGGCCACATTATCTTTAAAGGTCCAAGATGCAGGCATTTAAGACATACTTAAAGTAGAATTACACTCTCATTTTAAAAAAACTATAATGAATCCTGATCAAGAACAAGCATGTTCAACAACACAGTATTTCACATTTTTGCCCAAGCTCTTACAATCGTGTTTCTAAACAGCTGGCTCTGATGCTCTCTGCTCCAGTTCTTGTCCAGTACAAGATCACAGGGAACAGAGCCAACTCCAGCACCTGTTCATCTACAAGGTGGGAGGATGGAAGTGGCTTGCCATGCCTATGTGTGGAGACGCACACGCAATGGAGCATAGGACCTTGTAAGGAAAGGAACCACCCTAAAACAGAAAGTGAGGACCAGCTGATTCCGGAGGAAACTAAAACATCAAGAAACAGCATCCATTGTAAGTGATTCAATCCAGCGTTTGAAATAGCCTAAAAACCTTTTGACTCTAATATCACTTTAAGGCAGGCCGAGATATCTTTTATGTGGCTGCTTGAGTAATTTTATATTTAGCAGAGAAAAGGTGGATGCAGGAGAAGCAATTAACAGCAAATTAAAAAGTTGCCACGATTGTTTTCTGCTGTAATTGTTAAAATTGTACCCTAGGGCTCTTAAGCCAGCTTGAGGGAGCCTTGAGTTTTCTTTGTGTGTGCTGGACTTTGAAAGAAAATGGTGTTACCTGCCTGCAAGGTAAACTCAGTCAATTTATCTCAAAAGAGTTTTACCAGTTCTAGATATAGGGCATCTTCCCATAAGTGTTCTGACACAGCACTTTTCTTAACACAGAAGCACTTCCTGTATCAAGTGATCTTGATCTTCATGCATGTGGGGAAGATCAGCTTTGTGTGGAACTCCTCACAAAGCAAAGGTGAACCCAGGCACATTAATTGTTTCACGGATATGCCCAAAACCATGTTATTGATGTGCCTGGGAGGAAAGATCTTTCATACATCAGGCTATGTTATTATTGTTCTGCAATGTAAGGATAGGGTAAAATACTTTTGTGTCTCAAGGGTACGGATTTCACTACATGAATATAAATACCATTTTAAGGAAGATGTCGGCTGTGACAATCGAAGGTTTTTTCCTCAAAATCTGCTCTGGGAGAAAAAGCCAGACTGCTATTGAAATCCTGCCCACTGAGCAGATCTGAGAAAGATTTCTCAAGTCTGCTCCTATGCTTAGTGGGAGGGTACAAGCTTGCTAGTGCAATCTGAAATGGCCAATAACAGGCTGGCTATTGTGCTGCCAACCGTGGAATCTAGCTGCAAGATGTGAACAAAGAATTTTATCAACAAAATAAATGTAGTTGCGAATTAAATTTTTTTGTGTGCACCAAGCAGCTGACGATTTTATAGTGTGCATGAAGCCACCAGCCCAAAAAAAAACAAACCAAAGAAATCGTGGACAGATTTTTTTTTTTTTGATGGTTGATTGAATGCTGGTTAATGCGGAGTTTACTGTACTGAGGTCACCTTTTGCTGCCAAAACAGACCTGACCCACTGAGGCATGGACCCTACTAGACACTTGACAGTATGCTGTGGTATCTGGTACCAAGCCATCAGTGGCAGATCCTTTAAGTTGTGAGGTGGGGCCTCCATGGATCAGGCTTGTTTTTCCAGCACATTCCACAGATGCTTAATTGGATTGAGATCTGAGGTTTTGACTCGGCCTCCAAATTCTGCAAACGACTCTTGAGCCAATTTTGCAGTGTGGTAGGGCGCATTATCTTGCTGAAAGAGGCCACTGCCATCAGGGAATACTGTTTCCCTGAAGGGGTGTACTTGGTCAGCAACAATGTTTAGGTAGGTGGTATGTGTTAAAGTAACATCCACATGACCGGCAGGACCCAAGGTTTCCCAGCAAAACATTGCCCAAAGCATCCCACTGCCTCCACCGGCTTGCCTTCTTCCCATAGTGCATCCTGGTGTAATTTCTTAACCAGATAAGTGACACACATACGTGCAGCCGGCCATCTACATGATGTTAAATGTGATTAATCAGACCAGGTCACCTTCTTCCATTGTCTAGTTCTTTTGACAGTGGACACAGCTCAGCATGGGGAACCCTGACTGATCTGTGGCTACACACGCCCCTGTGATGTGCAGATGCCTTTCTATCGGAACCAGCATTAACTTTATCATCAATCTGAGCTACAATGGATCTTCTATTGGATCGGACTACTCCTGCCAGACTTTGCTCCCCTCATGCATCAATGAGCCTTGATCACCTATTATTGTTGCCAGTTCACCAGTTTTCTTTCCTTGGACCAATGCAGGCTGGATGAAATACTGCAAGATCTGCAGTTTTGGAGCTGCTCTCACCCAGTCATCTAGCCATCACAATCTTGCCCTTGTCAAAGTCACTTAAATCCTTACCTTTTTTTTTTTTTCTGTAATCAACTTTAGGGACACAATGTTCACTTGCTGCCTAATCTATCCCACCCGCTTCCAGGTGAACTTCACCTCTCAGTGGTCATAATGTTATGGCTGATCATTGTACACACACACACACACACACACTTTTAAAACCTCTGCACTGAAAGAAAGGAGGGGGGAGCTATCAGTGCTAGTTGTCTGGCTGTCTCTGTCATCATTACTTAGGAAGTCGTAGTGCAGTCAGAACTAAAGTCTTGATCTGCATGATTGTCCAAAGTTAGTGCTCTAAAGTGATAAAAGCCTAACCATCAACTCTGCCCCCTTTTGGTATGGTAAATATATCACTGAAAAAGTGTATCTGTTTGAGACGTACAAAAAAAAAAATACTTATAGATCATGCCAGAATTCAGAACTGTCATTCTTTGCACACTCCAAATGTTAAAGCTGCACTCCGGGATAAGTAAATATAGGGGAAAACCTAGGCATTGCATTTTTACTTGATTCTTGGAGTGCTTTGTGTATTTTTGCAAGATCTCTATGCAGTAATCTATTGTAAAACTTTGCCTCTGTGCAGGAGCTTCCTGTATTAAGACCAGTCACTTCTGCTCACTCTCCTTATGCATTGTGACTGGTCTTGTATCTGCCCCTTTACTGTTTTCTACAGGTATTTTGTAATGCAGGCATAGACATGCTTTGGCCCTCCATCCAGAGTATGCAAATAACTGTGTGCATTGGCCCATAAAGTCTTGCATGACTATAGTAAAAACCTCAGCCAAGAGGGCAGAGGAATTGGCCATACCCGACAGAGCTAAGGAAGACTCCTAAAGGTGGCCATACATACAGTCCAACATCAATAGCCCCTTCTGTGGTGGAAACTAATCAGGAAAATTAGATTTTAAAGTCATCCAAGTAGCCAAATACTTTAGCTCCCGTTGCTCGGCACAACAGGCACACTCAAAGTGAGTCTTGAAAGACAGGGCAAGTGCTAAGGCAATGCCAACAGTTTTGAACCAGCTCTGCCAGAATGGAACCCAGTGCCAAAAAGTCACGTATGTTATCCCTACAATGTCCCACCTAGCAAAGTCTGGACATGGCCCACCTGATGGCTGCACTGAATAACTGCAATGGGAGAGGCCAACTCTAGCAACAGTGTAGAGAAGAATTTCGACTGAAGTAGAAAGAAAAAAAAGTTACTAGAAAAAATAGGTTAGTCTTTTACACAGCAGAGCTGAAGAAAGACATCTGTCCTCCTGGGAAACTAGCAAAAAAAAAAAAATTGAGGCATGCTGGTAGTAGGTAGACATGTGCGATTCGTTTCTTTCCGAATTGAAATTCGAATGCATCTGGCTGATAAGGTGGTTCTACAAGCTACTGAACCATAATGTGTACTTTGTTTTTCACACATAACTTATCCATTTTGGCTTTATGTTTGTACAATAAATAATGACCCAGTGTAATATGTGTTCTTCTAAAAGGTTATATTTACCCAATTGTTAGGACCAGATTGTTTTTATTATGTCCAGAAACATAAAAGCATAGTATTCAAAGAGACTGTACTTTCTTTTTCACACCCAAATCCTGGTGCTCATGTGAAGCGACTCCCCCTAGGCCTGCTAAATAAATTACAAAATATTATATAAAAAACATTTCTTATAGATTAGGTCTCTTTATTTAAAAAAAATGCCTGAATGCTGTATTTGGCGTTTCCAGCTATGGTATATGCTACAGCAGGTAAAAGGGCCTATGCAGGCAGTTTCAATGGGCGAGCACACAAAATAACCCAACTCTGTTTTCTTTATGCATTTTTCACTGTATTTTAAGAGACACTGGCTCCTTTCAAGGCAATGTGACATTCTTTGCCAATAGCCCCCCAGCAAATTATTCTCCCCAAATTACGCTCCTTCGCTGTCTCACAACTCTGTTTCTCTAACAGAGCAGGGCCTCTGGGAGGGACAACAGGCAACACCCCTCTTTGACAGTACCCAGGTCTAAGTGGCTGACTCGTCAGGACCAAACAAACACCTATGAGGGGGAAGGGCAATGACATCTACCCTAGAATTTTCCAAATTTCGTAGTGGACAGCAAGGGCAGGCTTAATGGGCAGAGGGAAGAGAGTTGGTGGAAATCAGTCAAGAAGCAGTACCGAAGTGAAACAAAACCAGAGACACACAGATGTTTTTTTGTTTTTGTTTTAAAAAGGTAATGGCAGACATCTACCGTGCTTCCCCAAAAGTAAGACCTAGCGTTATCTTCAGGGATTTCAGTAATACAAGACCTACCCCGAAAATAAGACCTAGTTCGGTGGAAGATCTTATATTACAGAAATCCCTGAAGATAGCTCTAGGTCTTATTTTCGGGGTAGCTGGACATATAATGGAAATTTACATGTCAAGACCTGTCGCAGCTCCCCCGCCTGCACACCTGTCTGCTGCTGAAAACTACATTTCCCAGCAGGCACAGCGCGGGTCGAAGTGAGGTCAGGGAACTTCTGACTGGTGGCTCCCTGGACGGCATCAGAGCGGAGAGATCCAGACAGCTGCAGTCAGGTAAAAATAAGACATCCCCCGAAAATAAGACCTAGTGTCTTTTTTCGGGGGCAAAAAAAAAAAATATAAGACAGTGTCTTATTTTCGGGGAAACACGGTAGTGTTGTCTACTCATAGACATGACTCCTACATATAGAAGATCACAACAGAACACAGATTTGCTTTGGAATAATGCTAATCCAGTCTATCACAGAATTGAAGAGATGCACCTGTAAGGTTTTCCATTTTTATTCAAGCAGACATTTTGTACAAGTTTCACAGGTGCTATGACAAGAAAACAAATACAGACAGACATACTGACACAGTAAGTGCTATTGCCCAATGGAGTATTCTAAAATAAAAAAAATCATCATATTCTCTCCAGCGATTTCAGAGGCAATTATGAAACAGGTGCAGGGTTAAGTTCCTCAATTTCCATTATCAAGCTGTGCATATATGAAATACAAGCCTGTATTTTATCAGTTGTCTAGAAAGAATTCCACGGAATGAATTTAGAGATGTTTTACAGCTAAAACGTGTTTTCAAAATAGATTATTACATACAGCAAGCATAGGCACCTGAATCTGTCTTTTGTAATGCCTTGCACAGCCGCATTTAGACTTCAGAAGGGGAGTGGAAGCACATCTCGCTCTATTGCAACACACAGTATGGTCTATAAAACACTGGAAGCTCCAGACAGGAGGACAGAGCTGAGACCTCATTAGTGTCCTTCTGATCGTTCATTGTCCAGTTAAAGGCTTGGAGTGGGTCCTAAAACAGGATGTACGGCTTACCTGCAGAGTAGGCACAATCACTGGCTGTACTATTTGCCAGAATTGTCTAGATCACATCACAAGACTGGCTGAACAGAGAACAAATCTTTTGGCAGGTGTGACAACTTACTTATACCGTAGGTGTTCTGACTTTTGTATTCAGCTGTTTGCCTGAAGTTAAACTAAATCTGCCATAATGAGATGCAACACTATTTACCCACTGGGGCCCAAATTGTCGTTTTCATTAGACCTGGTCTGCTTAATTCCACTCACAAAACTTTCATGGTAGCATTAGAGGTCGATTATTTACAGCATTACATTAATAAAGTGGTAAAGCTCTTTATGTGCGTTTTGCAACTTATTTACCAACAAATATTAAGCCTTTTTGTATTAAAATGTAAACTTGGGTTTACTTTTTTCATGACATACACACTTTATGTTACCAACATAAGAGCTACCAGTTTTTTATATCACTAAATGTGACTAATCTATGGCTGTTGCCCTTTAAGCAGCAGAGTCCATGATACTTCATGGTCAATAAAGAGGTTTTTACCAGGGTCATGTAATACAGTCGCAGCAGAGAAATACTCAATGCACCCTCTACTCTATACAGTACTTTACACGTAGAAATCTTTCTTGGAAACCTATGAATATCTTTCAACATTTCTACAGATCAAAAGACTAAAAACTAATGTTCTAGTGTATATGACTATGTAAAAAAAAAAAACCATATATACCACAGGAACTATAGAGAGACAAGACAGGACAAGTAAATACTTGAGACACGCGATGACATCCAGGGTTTGTGAATCACCAGTAAAAGGTTTTACTGAGGAAATTTGCTGCAGCATTAAACCAGCTTCCACTGTTCTCCTCCTTTAATGCTGGCCGAGCTAGAGCTTTCTCTATGTCCTTCTGAGGACTTTCTTCTTCTGGTAAATAGTCTGGTAAGCATGAATTCTTTTCAACCGGAAGACTTACACTTGGCATTGGGAGATACACCTATATGGAGAAAGCATCACATAGTGTACGTTACCTACAATGTATTGTTTTCAGTACAAAAGAATGTTGCCAGCCCTACTTATTATACAGGATTTATATAGCACCAACAGTTTGTGCAGCACTTTACAATATAAGGAAAACATTACAATACAATTCAAGACGGTAAGGAGGGCCCTGCCCCTGGGGGCTTACAATCTAAAATAGAGGGGCAAGTGATACATGAGGAGGTAGCTGTGTGGGGATGAATTGTTTGAGAACGTGATGGTTGAGTGGTTAGGTAGGAAGGATCGCCTAAAGGCAGTTAGAGTGGGAGATAGAAGGACAGGTTGGGGATAAAGAGTTCCAGGGGGAGGGAGAGACTCTAGTGAAGTCTTGAAGGCAAGCATGGGAGGAGTTAACGAGGGAGCTGGAAAGAAGAAGGTCTTTTGAAGGGCGGAGGGGACGGTTAGGGCGATACTTTGAGACAAGGTTTGAGATATAACTGGGGGCAGAGTTGTGGATGGCTTTGCAAGTCATTGTTAATATTTGTACTTTAATCCTTTGGGCTATTGGAAGCCACTGCAGGGATTGCCAAAGGGGGGTATGTTTAGATTTTATTAGACCTAAGCAAACAAATCCATAGAGCGTGCATTTCCAAAAGTCACTGATTTGTGAAGGTTTAGGGTTCCTGCTCACACATAGAAACTGAAGTTCAGGAAGAAAGATCAGCAAGACTAGCCCAACCACATAATCCAGAATCCTTGTCACCAGTGACATCGGCACTCTGTCAAGATCGCCAACATCCTTGTATCCATGCCACCGGTTATATCTACACTCTGGCAACATAGCTCACACCCTAGTATTCATGCCACTGGCTGTGTCTACACTCTGCCACACACAGCTCCCACCCTAGTATCCAGCCCACCAGATAGACATTCATTCGGTTTATGGCTCTAGTAGCTCTTCTAGGGAGACCCACTCTATTAGTTCTGGTCACTACTTTTACTGGGTCTGAAAGAGAGAAAGGCAGATTTCCTCGTACTTCCTGTTGTATCTATAGGACAGAGAGTAAAAAGGTAAAAACCTTGAATGAGATTAAAAATGGCAAAAAAAAAACCAAAAAAAAAACAGCCTTTAATCATTCCCAACTCTCTAAAATGAAGAAAAAAAAAGTCTTATATATATTATGGCTGCAACTAACAATTATTTTCATAAATCGATTAGTTGGCCAATCATTTTTTTATTAAAATCGGATAGAAAACAAACAATAGTCTTTTAGATTAAAATACACAAATGGAGTGTTACAAAGTTTGCTTCAGAATAAAAATGCATACACATTTTTTTGCAATCGAACTGTACTGGAATGCACGGCATTGTGGTACCACACGGTCCAGTGCGGGCAAGGAGGTGTGTTTGGGGTGCCATTGAAATGAATGGCACCGCAATGCATATCCCACAGCAGAATTTCAGGCCAAAACTACTTTTTCTCAATTTTTTTTTAAAATAATTGTATGTTTTATATTAGGCATTTAATTAGTTTAATTGATTTAAAATAATCTGCATTGAAAAACTCCAAGCCAATATAATGTCTAATCTATTAGACCCCTAGTGTCACCTTTCCACTTCAATATCTTTAGCTGGGGAATGTAAACACAGAAGGTAGTCGCTGGGAGCAATAGCACGCGCCCACTGCCTGCTGTCAATCAGCAGAGGAGGGAAAAAGTTCTCCTTCAGGTCTTCCTCTGCTGACTGATGTCAGGTAGTGGGTGGCTGCAATAGCCATTTACAAAAATCGCCAATAGGAAATTGCTCCCAGTCGCTGGAGGGTAGACTTGTTGCCGACTTTCTACCGCTGGTTACAAGTCTGGCGGAGGCATGGGAGGCAGTGGACAGCGGTGGCACACACAGCAGTAGCACAGGGGGAGAGCATGGAGGCCGACAGGGGTGGCACGGAGAAGCATTGCGGCTGATAGCGGTATTGCCTCCCCACTGCAGCATTCTGTGTCCCGCATGCAGTGGACAGAGCAGAGGCAGTGAAGGTGGGGTGAGGCTGGAGGGACATTTAGTTACGGAGCTCTCCTCACCTCACTGCTGGGGACCGGGTGCAGGGGTCTGTGTCTGGGTGCAGCAGATATTGGAGGGGACACAGAGCCCAGGAAAAAAGCAAAATCAACTAATTGATAATGCGAATCGTTGACAATGAGTCTCATTAGCATCAATTAGTTGTTGCAGCCCTGTTACACTGTATACACACACAATTTTATGACATTGATACATTAAGCTTCAATGTGTTGACCAATCCCTGAAAAGTGACCGCAACACAATCACAATAGGATATAGGTGCACACATACCAGATTGTTACAACCTAGAAAGACTCGTGTGCAGCAACTGTGAGAGATCCCAGATATTACATGCACACCACACAAATATCAGCTGTGCCATTTTTCTCAGTAAATGATTTAAGGAAATGGACCAACCCCACTTCATTCACAATTTCCCGTTATGATCATTCTAAAATGAATTTCATTACAGATTTATATGTGGTGTAGAAATTGTACCTCTTTGCCCGATTCATTCTTTATCACTTGCTGTGCTTTCAGCACTTTGGTTTCTGCAATTGCCGATGTTAAACACTGTAAAAAAAAAAAATAAAAAAAAAAAAAAAAAAAAAAAAAAAAAAAAATCATCTGGCCCTTAGCAGGTCCCACAGATGAATAACACATGACATATTACACCGGGTCATTATTTCTTTTACAATTTTACCTAATTGTTTTTACTTATTTTACCCAATATTAAGACCCGCTAACGTTTAGATAATTATTATGTTCCGATACATAGAATTCAAATAGGGCGTACCTTCTTTTTCACTTGACTATATGAAATAAAACAAGGGTCATTGGAGAAAAGACACCAGGACTCATCTGTCCAAATCCTCCTCCGACTATCAGTCAATGTATAGACCGGGTGCAGGCTATAGTGTGCTCCCACTCCTTTAGCAATACTTGTACAATCAGTCGCACAAAACTGGTATCCATAAAACCCAGCTTTATTGTTATAGGATCCAAGTCAAAAATGTATAGCAAATACACCACCACAGCATCTCTGCCACTCCAACACCTGTCACGCGTTTCAACGCCTAGGGCTTAATCAAAGAGGCCTCTATGATTAAGCCCAGGTGGTGAAACGCGTGACAGGTGTTGAAGTGGGAGAGATGCTGTGGTGGTGTATTTGCTATACATGTTTGACGTGGATCCTATCTGGAACTTATCACAATAAAGCTGGATTTTATGGATACCGGTTTTGTGTGGCTGATTGTACAAGTATTGCTAAAGGGTCATTGCACAGCTTTATTATAAAACTACAGTACTAAGAATTTACTCTCCACAATTTAAATCAGGGACATTAGAGTGCATTCTTTTTGAACATTTTCTTGTTGTATTCATTTTTTAACATTCTTTTTGTACATTTAGCATTTAAATTCATACAATGTACATGTGGGTGATTTGCATAGATTGGGGCAACTTGCGGTGTAAAATCCTCTAGGTGATGGTTTTCCAGAAATACAATCTCCCGCCCCTGCTCCTGGAGGCCAAGCATTCCATACAAAACCTTTAAAGTCTCACCACGTACTTAGGCACACACTCTAGATTCTTCAAACATTTTAAGACTGCCTAACCAGTAACAACAACAGCAAGAAAAAAAATGTACTAAAGTCATTGGAAACACAAGCCAGAGAAATGGTTTAAAAACTAATTCCCCAGTATACATCACGGTTTACAAAAAAAAAAAAACACAGAAAGGACAAAAATAACTAGAAAGGGAAAAATTACGGACAATCCGTACTTACGAACCGGGGTCCACAGTTCTCCTAAATGTACCGGCACCTGCCGGTACATTTAGGAGAACTGTGGCTGCAGCAGCCTGTGTCCCTTCAAATCGGCGCTGCTCTCCCCGCCTGTGTTAGTGGAGGCAGCGGGGACACAGACCGCTGCATTCCGCCACTGCCTCCCGTACCTCAGTTGCTGTCCCGGCCTCTTCCCCGGTCTGTCGGCTTCTCTTCCCCGGTCCGGCCGCGGCTCCTCTGCCCCGCCTCCTCTGCAGGTTGGGAGCCATACCCAGCCTGCTATTGGATATTGTAAATGGCAATAGCCAATAGCAAGCTGGCTATTGCACCCGCCCACTGCCTGCTGTCAATCAGCATGGGGGGACCCGATAGAGAACTTTCTCCTTCAGGCCCCTCCTCTGCTGATTGACAGCAGGCAGATGCAAAAGCCAGCCTGCTATTGCAATTTGAAATATCCAATAGCAGGCTGGCTATTGCTCAGAGCATTAAAATTACAAGTTTAAAAAAATAAAAATTTAAAAATGCAAATTTAAAAAAAAAATAAAGTTTATAAAATAAAAAAAAAAACTTTTTTTGGTGTGTCATTTTAAAATAAAAAAATGTTTTTATATTATTATCTTCTGAACAACAGGAACAGACAGCAAAACAAACATGACCCTTCCTTATGCTATCCAAAACTAACAAATGTTATTTTGGCTGGAGTTACACTTAAAAAAATGTACCGGTTGCAACTTGCATACAAATTGAACTTAAGTACAAACCTACAGTCCCTATGTAACCCGGGGACTGCCTGTATTTGTACTGTTTTACCTTTGAAAAAGATTTGTAAAGTTTCCACTAGCAAGAACTTTTACCGAGATAGAATGTGCCAATAGAATGTGCCAAATAGAAATATAACAGTTTAAAACTGAACTCAGATAGACAATCAGGTAAATATAATGTTCAAATACATATATGAACCATTTTACCTGCCTATTGATTTGTAATTCTGTTTGGCACATTTGTTGCTTTACAAGACTGGCTAGTTAGGGCAACCAGTTCCTTGGGCCCCTCAAGACTACATTGCAGTTAACCAATACAAGGTGGTACAAAACCCACTCCAGCATGTTTTTGGAGAAGAAAGGAAAAACAGGACACTGATCAGGTCTAGGTCAAAAACCGGCACTCGCAAGGGGATCCATCCATCCAGTACTTTATTTGTAAAAAGGCATAACAGCAGCAAACAAACGCTTACATGTTTCAGCCCCCAAACTGGGCCTTAATCGTAGCCCACGTACTGGCTATGACTGAGGCATGGTTCACACCTGGGCATTTTACAGCGCGTTCCTACGCGCTGTAAAACGCTCAACATGTAAAAACCAATAATTGCCTATGGGCATGGTTCCCACCTGGGCGTTTTACAGCGAGTAGGAACGCGCTGCAAAACGCCCAAAGAAGTACAGGAGCTTCTTTGGGGTACAAACTAATCATTCTCTTGCTGGACCAATACCGGGCATAGCACAAACGACACAACACGCACAGCACAACATGCAGCGGATTACACATACGCACAGGGCATACACACAACACGCAGCACAGTAGGGGTTAATCACTGCTCTAACTTCTGCAGAGTTTCTGATGACATCTGTCTGCATTGCAGTTCCTTGAACACACCTAGGTGTGTTCCCCACAATGTCCACAAGCAACCAGTCAAAGACACCTGACCTCCATTAGACCACACTTGAGATGAGCACATTGGACAGGACTAGAATACAAAATTCCATCCAAGCCAGGATCAAGACAATCTCCTCATAGCAAGATCTCCTGTTCCTCCAAGATGGTAGAGGAATGCCATCATGGTGATGTTGTCCAACTAAATCCATGTCACCTTCTAAGGAGATGATCCCACAAAGGGTAGGGCCCATCAGTAATAACGGTTTTCGTGAAAGGGATCCCAACTGCAGATCAGTAAGATCCTTAAAACCAAAAACTCCATCTACAGCCCTATTGCTTCAATTGTACAGTGAGCCACTGGTGGATCCACAGTGGATGTAGACCAGTTACACAAAATTCTTTCCAAATGGGAACAAGTGCAGTAAGCATTTGAAGTGGGTTAAAGGGCACATTGGGGTACTTTCAGAATTGTTTGATTAATAGAGAATTGTATTCTTTTTGAATCCAGGCAAACAGAAATCATGAACCAAATAATTATTTACAGATTACAAAAACATATCTGCAAATTTTCAGTTAAACTGATCATTTGCAGTTCTCAACGTTCATAAATGAATCTTCTCATCTCTCCATTGCCCATCTGACATCCCACCAAGCTAAATGCTCACGGGGGAATTTATCAAAGCAATTGTGACAGTTTTAGCCTCTTAGATCATTTTTTTTTTATGTGCAAATCTGTCTTTTAACATGTGCACCTGTTTTGACCTGAGCTTGCACTACTTTTCCAACTGCACGTGTTTTACACCTGTTTTCATCTGCACTTGTCCTGCGGCTGTCTGAAACTGGAGCATTACCTAACAAAACAATCACTACTTAAGAAGTCCCCATGACCACTTCTTCAAGAAGCGACAGGTAAGCTTTTTGCCTGGAGTTACAAGTCTTCTTTCTGGGAGTCTATTAAAACCTAATTTAGCAACATTACACTAGGATCATAAATCTGGTGCAAATATATTCCGTGCAAGTTCAAACACTCGCAATTGCTATGATAAATTCCCCCCTCAGAGGGGAATTTATCAAAACTGGAGCAGACAAAATGTGGAGCACTTGCCCAGGGCAACCAATCAACTTGTCCCTTCAGTTTGTTCAGTTAAGATTTGAAAATGAAAGAAGCTGATTGGTCACCATGCACAGCTGCTCCAGTTTTAATAAATTCCCCTTTGTGTACTGGAGCAGGAAGTAAATCAGCTGGAGTTCTTCCTGGTTCCACTATTCAACTGCCTTTACAGGAGTGTGAAAATCTGAGACCTTCATTGCTCACCCCAGCAAACCCCCAACACCACTCCCCATGCCAACTTTTACAGGCCTCTGTAGTTGTCTGCGAGCTAGTTACTGGAACAAGAGTGCAGTTTATGTAAGCTACCAATAAGATAGTCATCCTTTGTAATATATTGACAAAAATCCCGCAAATATGGAGAACTACACATCATATATGCATAACTCATGGCGTGTATATATAATACTCAATTTACCTGCTTCTTATGTTCTCCAAACTCACCATCATACCAAGTTCATGCCTCATAATTTCACAGTGATGAGCATTCTCACACAAATAGCAAATTGTCTGTTTTGGAAGAACAACAAAAAAACATTTGCAATACAAAGCACCAAAATTGAAAAGTGGCTTAAAGCACATAAGGAAAAAACAAAACAAAAAAAAAAACTTAGGGTTATTAATGTTGGATTGGATGGATAGGACAGAACAGCTTCCTATCCTCCACTGTTTAGAAGACAGCATCCAATGCCTTTGCCCCCATTCACACCTAGGCGTATTGTTAATATGCGCGACTGTCGCGTGTTTTTTTTTTACCGCGATTCGCGGTAAAAAAACGCGCGGCGGTCGCGCGATTGACGGCTACTTGGCTGTATCCCAATGGAAAACGCCCTACAAAACGGCCCAAAGTAGTCCCGGGACCTTTTCAGGCGTGGGCCGTTTTGTAGGGCGTTAGGGACGGGCGGAAATACGGCGAGGTGGGAACGAGGGCATTGACTACAATGCAATTGATATTTTTGACCGTTTTGTAGAGCGTTCGTCGGGCGTAGGACACGCTACAAAACGGTCAGGTGTGAACGGGGCCTTAAACAACCTTCCCTGCTCTTATCTCAGGCCCGTCCCAGTTGCAACAAAGTACCCCTTATTTTTGACAGGAAGCATCTGAGCAAATGCCTAGAAATCTAGTCACATGACTAGCTGCCATAATTGTCAGGAATTACTTTTTACACACCCTAGCCATGAAGTCAGGGCCATTAAGAATGCCTCAGATGCCAGTAAGGGTACTCTCAATGAATAGGAGAAGGCAGTCACAGAAGTTCTGCCAGGGAGTCAGGAAAGGTCTTGCACTATTAAGTAGAGGAATTTCTGGCCAATAAAAAGGCCAAGCATACAAGAGTCTGGTGCTGGATGGATTTGTCTACAGGTATCTTAGAGTGTCTGTTCTTATGCATGACTTATAAAAGTATAAAATGGCAAAAAGATTCATTTAAAACTCATGTTAGAGAGTCAAGGTCCTGTATATAGCCTGGGCCTAGGATTCAGCATACTGCCAAAGAACACAAGCACAGGTACATGCACTGCACCAGTAATGTTTTTTTGTACACTTTCCTAGACAGCTACAAAACTCTTATAGATGACTAATATGGACTTGAGACTTGGTAGAAAGCATGTGAGGTCAAGCAGTAAATGTCAAATTTCAGCTGAAAAAAATATATGCTTGTTTTACTAGGATGATCTAATAAAGGAGATTACTTACCTTAAAGCAGACCTTTACACTCAAAAATAACATTCTACCAATGCATCTCTCTATGTATGAGGTTTAATAACATAGACATGTCAGGTGTAAAATGCTGTGATTGTGAAATACTTACACTTGCAGAACATTCACTTCCTGCTTTGAAATGCAAAAGGATTTAGATTGCCAAAGCAATGCACACTGAGATTGTCTTGTCATCAGCAGAGCATTGCTGGGAAATCTCATCTCAGGGAAAGGCATTTTGCTCCCCTGAGATGATGTGCATGGTCACATGTCCTAGTCACATGTGCCAGATTTCCGGGAAGTAAAAGATTCAGTAATCTGCCCTTGAAAACATGGCCACTGTCAGAAGACTGGGGAAGAAAAGAAAAATAACGTATGCAAAGAATACAAAGCCGGCAATTATCTAGATGTGTGTGTAGATTGTCATTACTAAACATTTCTAAAAGGTGTGTGTGTTGTGATGACAAGGCAAACCCAGTGTGCATTGCTTTGGCAAACTGAAGTCATTTTGCCCTTTCAAAGCAGGAAGTGAATGCTCTGCAAGTGTAAGTATTTCACAATCACAGCATTTTACACCTGACATTAGTTATTACTAATCACCATACATAGTAGGGATCCATTGGTAGAATTTGATTTGAGTGTAACTCACTTCACTTCAATGTAACTTGATTAGGCTCACCACACAAGCTTTCATGTAAATGGCCAATCTCCTTAATATCTACCAACAGCTATGTATTGCAGGGATAGGCAACTTCAGCACTCCAGCTGTGGTGAAACTACAAATCCCATGAAGCATTGCAAGACAGACAGACAGCCACAGGCATGGCTCCTAGAGGCATTATGGGATTTGTTGTTTCTTCACAACTGGAGTGCCGAGGTTGCCTACTCCTAATGCAATGGCCTGCTGATTGGATACAAACTGATTGGATAGTTTAGGGTGGTAGTTATGAGCCTGGGCTTGCTGTGAACCCAAGTCACCTGAGTTTGGCCAAGCCTGCTCAGAACTGTAACCACCACTCTCTCCAACCAGCCCAATCAGTTGCGGCAGGGGCATTCCCTGCCCCTCTGTGACGCAGAACTGTAGGGCAGTGAGCGCACTTTTTGCAACTTATTGGGCGGAGCTTTAAGTCACAGTTTTGAGTGGGCTTGGGCAAACTGGGTTCACACACCAAGCCTAACCTCATCACATAGTTTTGGTAAATCTAATGTTGATTGTAACATATGTGGTGACCCTAAGAACTATAATATCAACATGAAAACAATATAACATGTGTGCGCTCAACAATGGGTTTTCCTGAAGCCCTGTTACAAAGCATGCTGCTCCCCTGACCTGTAGAGCGCCCTCCACTACATTTGGATCCTGGTGGCTGAGAAGGAGGATGAGCCCTGCCAGGCAGCTCTTATCATTCACGATCCCAGCTCTGTTCCGGGGCTCGGACGCCAGGCTCCTCAGATGGCTGACCACAGACACGGCATCCATTCCACGGATAGAACGTTTTCACAGGTGTCGGAATGTGAAGGCGGAAGGCAGGTATCCCAGCTGCACCGCAACCGTTACCTGTTCCAATGTGCAGGGCTACTAGTAGTAGCCGATTGGCTCGTTCCGCCATCACATGGGGATGCAGCGGAGAACTGGCCAATCAGGGTGTTGCGTGTGATCTCGCGGCGCTGAGTTTGAATGAGTCTCGTGCTGTTTCCTGATCAGCGGAGAGGTGAGAGGAGCTCGGAGTGTCCAGACTGTCCAGCGACTATATAGACATCGTGCGGGGACGGGGGGCTTCCGGTGTCGGTAAGAATCCTACAGTATACACCCGGTATTGTCTTAGGAGGAACACAATCACGTCGCTTGGAGTGTTCTCAGATAATCCTCCTGTAGGGCTCCAAACGTTCCATATGAAGCCCCCATTCACACTTCAGTGTCAGCATTTTTACCCAAGTTCATACCTTAGTATTGGGTAAAAGTGCACGTGTTCATGCAACATGTCAAAAACGTTGGATGCGTTTACGGTGCCATAACTTGTTAATGGCACCCCAATTGGGGCTGGTAAAACGTATATATCAAATGCACATGAAAATGTTTGTCACGCATGCAGCAGCCCATTGCTTAAACGGGCAACCCGGAAAGAAACTGCATGCAAACGTGTGTTTGCGCAGCGTGAAGTGTGTTTTTTGAAACGTGTTTCTCAGGCTTGAGCAGTTTTATTTTAGCCAGTGGAACACAAGCTACTAGTTAGAGGTGGAGATGGTTGTTAGACGCAACATGGCATTTAGATGTTCCCGTTGAAGTCTATGCGGCCAAAAACAAGCAATTCTGCCCAAAAAGAAGTCAATTGTACAATACACTGAGAGGGCAAGTTATCAAAACTGAAGCAGACAGAATCTGGAGCACTAGTAACCAATCACCTTCTCTTTCATTTTCAAAGCTTAAAGGAAAACTATGGGCTAAGTGTTTTTCCCCATATATAATCTCTTTAAAGGTCATGGGAGGACATATATTAAAGGAGAACTATGAGGTGAGTGATTTTCACTCACCTCATAGTTCTAGCCGATCTGTGACAATAAGACTGTCACAGGTCGGCTCAGTAGATCGGGAGGTGAGCGAACACATACCGGCGTTCGCTCACCTCTTGATTCTGTCACTGCTCTCTGCCGTGATGGGAGGGGCTGGATTCCCCCCTCCCCGCTCCGATCTGCCAGCGCTGACTGGCGGAACGGACGTGGGAGGGGGCGGATACTGCTGGCTCTGCCTTTAGATAGGCAGAGCCAGCTGTCAGTCACGCAGCTGGGCGGATCCCGGCACAATTGTCGTGATCCGCTGCGGCGTCTCAGTATACCGCGAGCAGCAGCTCGCGGTATACTGTGGCGTCTCAGTATACCGCGAGCTACAGCTCGCGGTATACTGAGCCTAGGGTGACGGGAGGACGCTAGTTTGTGTCCTCCCGTTACCCTAAGGAGAACTATGGGGAAAATACTTAACCCCATAGTTCTCCTTTATGACCCAATGCTCATTATATAGCAAGCTATTGCTGTCTAGGATACTGTCTGGATCCACCCAGCTGCGTGAGTGACAGCTGGCTCGGCCTATCTGTCTGCATCTACTGTTGGTGGTCGGTAAGGTTTTAAATATTTACTGCATGAGTTCCATTCTTTCCATTTTATAAACTGACAGTTGTTCTGCTTTTTCAGAAGGAACACAGAATGTGAAGGTTCTTGAAAAGTTTTTAGGGATCGGTCTTCCTCTGGATAATCAAATGTCTCTTCTTCTGGAATTTATTAGACAGCTTTTAGACTACCTGGGCATTCCGCCTGACAGGGTAAGTATACCTTGTCTCTGACAAGGCAGGCAGAGGGCAAAATACCAGTCATCAGTATTAGTTGTGCTCTCCCTGCAGCAACTCTTTTCCCCATTAAAGCAGACCTTTACACTCAAAAATCAAATTCTACCAATGCATCCCTCTATGTATGATGAATAATAATAATATAGACATGTCAGGTGTAAAATGCTGTGATTGTGAAATACTTCCACTTGCAGAGCATTCACTTCCTGCTTTGAAATGCAAAAGGACTTCAGATTGCCAAAGCAATGCACACTGAGATTGTCTTGTCATGAGCAGAGAATTGCTGGGAAATCTCATCTCAGGGAAAGGCATTTTGTCCCCTGAGATGATGTGCATGGTCACATGTCCTAGTCACATGTGCCAGAGTTCCAGGGAGTAAAAGATTCAGTAATCTGCCCTTAGTAAACATGGCCACTGTCAGAAGACACTTGCAGAGCATTCACTTCCTGCTTTGAAAGGGCAAAATAAATTCAGTGTGCCCAAGCATTGCATCCTGGGAAGGTTACATGAGCAGAGCATTGATGGGAAATCTCATCTCAGTGAAAGGCATTTCCTCCCCTGAGATGTGCATGGTCACATGTCTAGTCACATGTGGCAGATTTTCAGTAAGTAAAAGGAGAGCTAGTAAACTGCTCTTAAGGTGCCCATACACTGGTTGAATTTTGGACAGTTTTTAATGTACCAGAGGAAATTTTCAGTGTGTGTGGGGCTGTCGGCTCCCTTTCAGCCAGCATTCCTCGATCAGCTGATTAAAGGAGCCGACTGGAATTTTTTTCCGATCAATCAGAGCCGGCAACCAATGAGCTGCCTGCTCTGATCGGGTATTCAGACAGCTGCCCACAATCCCTGTCAGAATACAATGTGAATAGCGGGATTCCTCAATTGGCACGCTGTTTGTGTTGATGGAGGAATCGGGTCAATTTTTTTCTTCTAGCTTGCGGTTTGAACGAAAAAAGTTGATAGGTATATGGCCAGTCTTAATTAACATGGCCACTGTCAGAAGACTGGGGAAGAAAAGAGAAATAAGATGCAAAGAATACAAAACCTGCAAAGTATGTGTTTGTAGACTGTCATTAGTAAACATTTCTAAAGGTGTGTTTGTTGTTATTTTAAAGATATGGGTAAAGTTCCTCTTTAATGTCTTTTTCATGTTGGAGCCACACCCCCTAATTATTGATCTGATAGTTGCTGAGGCATATTTAAAAGCAGATGTTTGCACTGCAGGGTTTCAGATACAGCTTTCCCTGCAGCAAAAAGAACAGTGAGCAGCACAATAGTGACATCACCAAATCTCTTGAGCAGTCAGAGGCTGCAGTGCCTAAAATGACCACACACTGCAGATATAGTATACAGCTTTGAGGCTCAGGGCCTAGGAAGTGCTCCATTATTTTTCAGTAGCGTTCAAGTTGAAAGGCAACATTTTCAGGCTACCAAATTGACACAATTAGCAATTCTAGATGTTACTTATAGTATATTTTTCATTTTTTGAGTTCACGTCCACTTTAAAGTGCTTCTACTAATTGTATTGGGGGTAGCCCCACTGCAAGGGTTAATACAATTTTTGCCCGGAGTTCCTCTTTAAGCATTTTTCCTTATTAAACTGAATTCTGCTTGCTAAATAATTTGATCCCCTGATTGATTGATTTGATCTCCTTGAGCATCTCCCTGGTCTTCAACCATGCCCGTAGCATGTCTGTAGTCTTTTGACAATCCCCTTTAGCATGCCCACAGTCTCTAACATTATGTGTGGCCCCCATGTCACGTAAGTTGCCAGTCACTGCTATAATGTATATAATTTGCCTAAAAATAATTTTTTCCTTAACAAGTCTCAACCATCAACTAAAATAGTTTGTTTTTGTTTTGTTATTTTGTGACAGCTTGTGACAATATGGGGAAATTATATCAGCAGACGTAGTTTTCTTCGCGCTCTAACAAATCACCTTCCTCCAGTATTATTTCAAGGAATTGACCTACAGGTATTTGTTTTTATAATTTGATGTTATCTCTAAGGGCAGGTTGTTTAATCACAAAAGTTCAACGCATTTAGTGTGACCCAAAACATGTGCATAGGTTTATGAATTATTGGGATAAGCTTCTTTTAGACATGATCTGTTACAATCAGGCTACATATGAGGTGACCCCCATTATTGTAGTTGAAGTCAACCTGTGCCCAGAATATGTGCATAAAACCTGAATGTACATTTGGAAAAAAAGTGAATCATTTAAGCTGGCATGTCCTCCGTATGCTGAGACATAACCTACCAAATAAGGTTAAAGCAAAGTTCCAGCTAGAAAATAACAGCCCATTAAAAGAAGGGGGGGATGCTGCAATATTTACCTGTAATCCAAAGCAGTCCACCCAGTAATTCTTTTGATGCTGACAGTTTTCAGATTGAATGACTGCCAGTGTCATTTCACCCACTTACTGTGAGCCCAGGCTGTCATGGACATGTTCCTGGGGGCAGCATCAGCCCACATTGCCAGGGCTCAGAGTATCACTGCACTAAATGGCGCTTACACAACATAACGTGAGCACTGCTTAGCCCGGGAGGAAGCACTGCTGGATGAGAAAAGTAAGGACCCAGGAAGTCATCATACTAGAGATATATGGGGCAAGCATTATAGTAAGCAGATCGCGGTATACTGCGGCGTCTCAGTATACCGTGAGCTACAGCTCGCGGTATACTGAGCCTAGGGTGACGGGAGGACGCTAGTTTGTGCCCTCCCATTACCCTAAGGAGAACTATGGGGAAAAGCCTTAACCCCATAGTTCTCCTTTAATAAATATCACATTGGTGTGAAATTGTTATTTTTCAATATGAAGTAAACATTGAAGACTGTCTGCGTCCAATTTGCAGGCATCCAGACCTGCATGTATATGCAGGTTCAGATTGGCCTGTAACCACATGCAGTCGTGTCCTCTGTATTGCGTGCAGCCGGGATGTATAGTCGGCTGCACGCAATTACACGCTGCACTTGTCCCTCCCGGGAGCAGGTCTCTGCACAGCTTGCATGCCCATGTAAATGAGGCCTTATAAAATAAGCTGTTAATTTATCACCACAGTGTTTGTTTCTTCAACAAACACTTCATGAGTACCTGCTCTTAATGCAAGCCAGGAGCAATTAATATTTGTTGGAGGAGAAACCCAAGTTGACCTTCACCTACAAAATAATTCAAAGATATAATATTCTGTTAACTACATGTGGTTAATACATGTAACAATTATGCTTAGGATACCAATTCCTTTTTTATCTACCTGCCCTTCTAACTGACCTAATGTCTATATAAGGCCAAAACTTTCTTCCGATGAGGATGCCTTTTTCTGGTGACAACCTTTTATGATTTCGCCTCACTTCTGTTTGTGTCTTCTGGACAGGAAGTGAAGGGAAAGCTCCCCTTAAAGGACAAAGGGTTTTTTAAGCTAATCCAGAAAATTAGCCCTTTTATACTTTTTGTTTCTAATCTAGGATCTGCAATTATTGGAACGCAAAGACTATGGCTGGACTCGCAGTGTGGTACGAATCATTGGAACTTTACTGCCTTTGGAACCTTGCCCTAGAACACATTTCCAGGTTTGTGAAGAATGCAACTTAACGAAATCATCCCATCAGCAATAAAAAAAATAACTGCAGATCTGTTCATTTATGTTTAAATATCTTTCTTTGTAAAAATAAGTGGAATACTTCTACAGGATTTCACATCTTTCTGGTTGCTAGTACTGCCTACCAGCCCCTCCCCTGCATGAAGCCCGATTTGTGGGCATTCCCTTTGTGGAGCTCTACCAGAGCTCTGTTGTAACCACCCTATCTGCTGTGAGTGCGTCTGTCAGAAAGTCCTATTTGTTTAAAGTGACAGCAGACAGGACAAACTATCCTATACACTGTTGTTTAATTTTTTTTTTTGCTGAGCAAAAATCCCCTACGTCTAAGCCCACAAAATCTCTGGCCTCACACACAGATTTTTAGGTGCCAAGTCTCTATCGTTCCACATAAAATGACACTGATGACTAGGTAAAATGTGTACTGGTAAAGTTCTGAAGAGATGAAACACTGCAAAGCGTTGTGTGCATGGGGATTTCAGAGTGTACTCATTCCTTTGCCATGATTATAGTTCCCTTTTTTTGCATCGCCGTATTCTAAGGGGTGGAAATGGATACCAGAAGACAGTGCACCCGCAGCCAGTTGCTGCTTAGTTGTCTATAGCTGCGTCATTGTAATTGATGCTGCGACAGTCACTGCATCAAACAAATATAATGAAGCTGCTTCAGAGGGCTTGACAGCAACTGACCACAGGTGCGTGTGACATTACACATCTCCCCTCTCCCTGCATGAGTTTTGTGGCGCTAGTCTTGAGTGTGTGCCTGCTGCTGGAGACCAGTGCTGTCAATCACAACTATTTGTCTCTTACAGAGCACTGTGGACAGACCAAGGAGGGAAGCTTAGTTGGGGCTGTTGACCACGATAGCTCTGTATCCACTGCACCTAGCAAAACAGGACAAAGTGCCACATGCACTTTGCCCCCTGGGGGGCAGGATGAAGAAAACATCTCAGCTAGTCTGTCATGGATTTTGAAAGAACGAAGTAATATCAGTACCGAAATGCTGCTTCAAAGTAAACATCTTGTATAAGTGCAGACTTCAGAACATGCTTTCTATATTCCTTTTGTTGACCAGAAAAGCCGTACTTGGGCATTTCTCTGATTTGGTTTCTCTAGGCTACGTTCCTACTCGGCTGCCATTCCCCTATCTAGCAATTACTGAATCAGGGCTACTAATTGCAAGCTGTCCTGCTCGAGTTCTCCTCTGCTAGACTTTGTCAGCACAGCCCTGCATAACTCCATCTTTTTTATTCTAAGCACTAGCGTCCCTCCCATACTGAGCTGTCTGTTTCTTTCCTTTCCCTGTTATTTCAGTGCAGCACAGACAGCACTGTCACTCTACTACAGAAATTTAGGAGCTGGCTTAGTTTCTGGCAGAATCGCCAAGTATTTTTCTATACTTGCAGAATTTTTAAAGACCCACTCAGGGCAGAGCTCCAATGCATACACATTTCACCATATGTTTGTTTTAAAGGGTCATTAAACCCTCAGCGGTTTTTGCATATATCTACTGCTAGCAAGCAGTAGATATATGCAAAAAAAAAAAAAAATGTTTAAACCCAAAACTTTTAAAAAGGGTTTAAACTTAACTGTGTCTTCACCGCGCGCTCCCGTCCATACATCTGGAGAGTCTCGGGCGGCCGCAAAGGATCTTGGGGCGGGCACATGCGCACTTCAGATGTTTGGCCGGTAGACAAGTAGAGACACAAGGTAGGTATATGGAGCAGCGTGCACCAGCACAGACTCCGTGGGACATCAGAGGAGTCAGCACTGGATCGGAGACCCGCACCAGCGCTGGAGGGAGAGCTGAAAAGGACAGTAAAGAAGAAGAAGATGATCGAATCAAGAGGCATCATTTAGGTAAGGTAAGTCCCTACAGCAGGATTGGAAAGGGGGGAAAAAATTCTGACTTTAATGTCACTTTAAGCTTTTGCCCACAATACACTTCAAAGTAAACCTTGTCACTGCAAGCCAAAATGTGATGTATACACTTTAATATATTTTCAGTAAAAAAAAAATGATTGTAGGTTTTTTAAAAATTAATGTATGCATTTTTAAATCTTTAAATGCATTTATAATGATCCTTTTTGTCAATTTTGTTTCTAAAGCACGTTTTAGTCCCCGAAATACTGGAACCTAGAGGGAAAGAAACAGTCTGCAGGCCTGAAATCTCATCTCTGGCTGATGCCCCATTTCTTATGAATGATGATATTAAGTCTTGCACCAGATTTAGGTAATATTCGTGTCTTTGTGCTATGTTCACAACATTGTGTTTCTCAGATGATAATAATGACATCTTTCATCAGACATCACCTTTCATCAAATATGCCAACGGGAGGGTACAACATGGCAAGGCGTAGTGAAAAGGACCCAGGACTGTCAATGATGGTTCAGAACAACAGCGTTTCTGAAAATGTTCCTTTAGCACCAAGTGAAAATGCAATTCAGAAGATAGCTGCTTTGGAAGATGAGCTGATGCAGCTAAGAGCACAGATTGCTGCCATTGTCGCCATGCAAGAAACAAGAAACACACATTCTTGTAAGTTACTTGTGTTAAAAAAAACTTTGTAATTTATGTAGAAATGTTTTCATTTAGGCCACAACTTGGTAACGCCTTGTTCCCTTTCTTTGTGCAGGTTCTGAAACGTTGTCATTTGGTAGCCCTTGTAATGCTCTTCCTCCTCCATCTTTAACCTCAACACCCATTAATACTCAGATCCTGCTGTCTACACCAGCTCCACCCCCTCCTCCGCCACCACCTCCATTGCCCATTCCACCTGCTAAGATTAACTCTGCCAAATCTGCACTTGATCTCATCAAAGAACGTAAGGCATCTCACAGACAGACGAGTCCAAAAGAGGTAGATGAGGCAGAAAAAGGCAATTTAAATAATGTTCCTAGTATGCTGGATGTTTTGAAGGATATGAACTCGATTAGACTTCGTGCTGTTGAAAGGTAAAGATTTTTTGATATTTTCCAAAAGTAGTGATTCAGCCAAACCTCCCCCCCTAGTTTTGGAAGGTTTAACCCCACCCACTATATCCATCTGTTATTTCCATGGAAAATAGGAAGTGAGTGGAACTTTACCCGAGATGAGAGGTGAAATCCTATCTTTGACAGCTAGTACCAAAACAGATGCACCCAATGGTTACTTCCCCTCTGTCCCTTTACTGGTGTCCACTGTAAAATTCTAGATTTCCCATCACTTTCTGTTTCAATGACAATGGTCACCAGGCTAGAAGGTGATAGCCAATTTACTCAATGAAGACACAGACTGCAATGGAAACCTGAGAGGTTTATAACTGTTGCCTGCACTACCCAAAATTAGAAAAACGAGTTTTGCTGTAGTCGTGCTTTAGGTGCCCATGTACAGCTCAGCTATTGGGCAAATTAGGCCCTTGTCTGCTGATTATTGCACATGTGTAAGAGGAGTAGTTATTTCAGTATCAAATGTCCAGGATAGTAGGTACAGTCATATGATGGTACCATATGTTGTCATATGCTGCCGCTATACAACCATGATCCAGAACTTTGACGCAGTCGAGTTTAGAGCCAATCAGTTCTTATTGCCCGCATCAACCAATCAGACTCTGCTTTTCATGCCTATAGAGCTGTGTAGGGTGGTTGTGATGAGTTGTTAGTTTGTCCTTCAAACATACATGTGGCCAACAGGTCTTTTCTACTGTGTTTATGTTAATATTCTTCCTTTTTTTTTCCTCTCCCGTAGGTCCCCGGGGGGTACACCTTTAACAAGAAAAGATAAGAAGAGACGTTCTCTTAATGACCCTGCAGCTATTATAGCTCATGCACTGAAACTGAAGTTTGCACATAGGCATAAAGATGAATCATTAGACAAGGAAAATAGATCTTATGAAGATTCTCCCTTCTCCAGTCCTGAGACACCAATGGTACCGTGTATATATACATTCCAAGAACATTTCTATACATTTTGGGGATGCCTCAAAGAGTAGGTCAAGGGAAAATGGGGAAAACACATATGCATGACATATCTACAATACATACACATTTCACAGTGGTTTATCCCTTGTAGAACCCGTTCTCATCATATGTGTTCAGGCTGTGCTGGTTGATTTTTTTTTTTTCCAGCACAGCCCGAAACGCAAGACAAGGCAATGCCTTATCACAGGTGGGCACAACCGTTTACACCACTGTGTTGTGCTTAAACAAAAAGTAAGTCATGCAGTACTTTTTTAATAGCATGAAAGAGAGACAAAGTACAGCTGCATCGCACCTCGGTGTGCCCAAAGAACTTAATGATATGTCACTTTTGATTATTGATCGTGTTTTTAGGGATAGTGATTGATTCCTAACAGCGTGTATTTGTATCGCATATGATCACATGCAGTGTGCCGGTATTCAAATGCAGCAGCTGTCACCCGATCATTAACTTGAACAGGTGACAGCTGCCGCTTGCAAATGAAGGGATTTCTGCTGCAGGAAATCGCAAGTTCCTGGCACAGGAATCCCTAATTGTGCCTAAAATATAGGTGTGAATGGAGCCTTAGTACAACTGAAGCGGGTGCCAACAGCATGCCTCCTTCTCTTAATGTTTTGTTTTAGTAAAAACATAAAGAATCGTAGTTTCAAACATAGTTAATTAAAATCCAGGTCTACTTTATTGTGTAATTCTGACTATCTTTTTATCCACAGTTTGGGAGCCATCTACTGAAGCCAATAGGAAAGAGACCTATGAAAGAAGTTCCAAGAAAACAGGTGTTTCAATAATCTGAACCCTGTGTTCAATGAATTGCATTGAGCTCCTTTTAACTGAAAAAATATTGAAACACGTCTACAAACTCATAACAAGCTCTGGGTCTCTTCTATGGATTTTCTTCTGTGTGGACATGTTTTAAATATGCTTTACTGTATGGCTGGGTTCACACCTAGGTGTATCGAATATGCGCGATTCGCTGTAAAAAAAACGTGCGACCTGGTAGGTGAGGGCTACCAGGGTAGCGAGGGCTACCTGGTTGTATCCCAATGGATACACGCGGCAAATACGCCCCAAAGAAGCTCCTGTACTTCTTTGGGCGTAGGGCGTTTTGCAGCGCGTTCCTACGCGCTGTAAACGCCCAGGTGGGAACCATGCCCATAGGCAAACATTGGTTTTCACATGTTGAGCGTTTTACAGAGCGTAGGACGCGCTGTAAAAGGCCCAGGTGTGAACCAGGCCTAAGAGTTTATCAGTTTTATTGATTTTTATGTAATGGGAGTGGGGGTTATATGACTTTTGGTCTGCAAAATAACCAAACCTAAAGTAAAATCATTGGGAAATACGGAGCATTGTGACATGAACCTTTCCGGTACCACTTCGGTCCCTTTTATGATATGATATGCTCTCTTTATGTCATAGAATACCTACTGTTCTGTTCTACTTGGGCTCCAAATATAACCGGTATCCTTGCTGTTATATACTGCCATTCCACACTATTATTATTCCACACTTCACATATCATCTGCTTTGTATAGGTGTTTGCTGCCTTCTATTTTGTAAGCACATGTGACAATGGTTATTACTGGTTCTAATAGATTAGGACATGTTTTTCTTATTACAGTGCTGGAGATATTTTGCTTGATACAGTACTGTAATAGCATTCTGACACTGCATACAAAACCTTCCTCTGTTTTATATGGTATTTAATGTAATATAGTAGCAATGTATGTCTTGTTTTAACCCCTTCGTGACCGTGCCTGTTTAAACACTCCCGGCTGCTTTAGCTTTACTTACATTTGTAAAGCCAATTGTCGGTTTTACAGTAGAAGAGATTCTGGCGACTCAGCTGTTGCCAGAATGCTTCTAGGACTGGTAAACGGCCCCTCCTGCGGACCCAGGACCGGCATCTGGGGTGTTGGCGGGAAGCTGGAGAGGAGAGCGGCGAATGTCTGTTCACCGATTTCCTCCCCGTTCTATGGGACCAGGAGCGATGCGTATTGCATCACTTCAGGTCTCATAGCTGTCAGTGCTGGGCTCCTGAAGCCTAGCAATAATTTATTGAAGTGTGATCCGCACTTCAATAGGTTATATAAAGTGTAAAGGTGGTTCTAGGGGTCTTTTAGACCCCCAGTATCACCTTAAAGAGTACCTGTCACCACCAATCTGCTATCACATGAGAGGGCTTGTAAGCCCCCTCATGTGATGGCAATTAAAGTAAAATAAGTTTTAAAAAATCTCAAATTAAATGTAAAAATAATTTAAAAAAAATGTAAAGTCCCCCGCAAGCACCGTGTGCGCCTACTTACGGAAACGATGGTCGCACTACACATGTTTGGTGTCGCTGCGCACGTCAGAGTGAGAGCAGTAATTCTAGGACCAATATTTATGCTGATCTCAAAACGGATGACCTGTAAGGGTTTTTAAAGCGTCGTCTATGGACTTTTTGGGGTACTGAATTTTGTTGTCGTTTAAGAAATGCACACAATTTTTAACCTGGACATGTTTGGTATCTTACTTGTTGTAACATCTTTTATTTTTCAAAAAATTGGTATTTTATTGTGTTTTGGGCACTACATTTAACTAAAGTGCATTTTTCACAACATTTTGGGGTTTGATGATAAGTTGCGCTAATGTCGTGCAACATAAAAATTTGCAACTGCCAACATTTCATTCTACAGGATCTTGGCTTTCAGAAAACATAGAATGTTTGGGGCTTTTAAGTAGTTTTCAGGCCTAAAATGTGGATTATAACATGGGGGGGGGAAAGGCCTCGGTCATTAAGGGGTTAAAGTTGATCTTTTTGTTGCAAAAGACAAAGCAACACTTACACTTCATTATAAGCACAGTCAACCTGCTTTACATGCCATGCTTTCCCTGGAGCCCAGAAAAAAAGACCTTGTATGCTTTAATTTGAGTTCTAGGGGAAACATGCTTAGCTCTGTCTGTTTTTTTCAAACTAAAAACCTGCACAGGAAATTCTGGGGCATCCGACATTTGTAAGCTAAGTATAGTATAACCTTACAAGTGACTTATCCCAGCAGGGGAGTAAAAACAATGTAAGCATTTGCAGCTGGCGGGCAGAATTTTTTGCTTTGCATGGAGAAAAGAGCAGGTTCATTAAAACACTCATTGAAAAGTAAGTTCAGCTAACCCATGCTGGCCTAAAAAGGTATTTTTTCTGGATAATGCAAATCTTCTCAACTACGTGTAGTTGCAGAGAAACATCTCTCTTCATTGTTAAGCTGCCCATACACCTTACAACCATCGCACGACTTTCCTTGTGCGATGGTTGTAGGTCATTTAAAATTTCGTACGACCTGCCCATCTTGGACAGGCAGATCGTACTTGCGATTATCGAGCACGCTACCGCTACCAAAATCATACGATTTTGGCAGGTTTTCCAGCGTGCTAGGAAGACTAAAGTCGTGCGACTGTGCAGTATATGCTGTCGCACGCTGCCCATACACCTGCCGATTATCGTACGATAATCGGCAGGTGTATGGGCACCTTAAAGGAGAACTATGAGGTGAGTGAAAATCACTCAGCCTCATAGTTCTAGCCGACCTGTGACAATGAAACTGTCACACGTCGGCTCAATAGATCGGGAAGTGAGCGAACACATACCGTTGCTAGCTCACTTCTCGATCTATCCTTGCAGAGAGCCGTGGCTGTCACTCACGGCTCCCTGCACAGATTCCCTCCCCTGTCCGATCCTCCAGAGACTGGCGGAGGGGGCCGGGTACAGCTGGCTCTACCCCTAGATAGGCAGAGCCAGCTGTTACTCACGCAGCTGGGTGGATCCAGACAGAATTGTCATGATCCGGTTGCGGCGTCTCAGTATACCGTGAGCTGTAGCTCGCAATATACTGAGCTTTGGGTGACGGGAGGACGCTAGTTTGTGTCCTCCCATTACCCTTAGGAGAACTATGGGGAAAAGCCCACCCATAGTTCTCTAAGGAACCCTGTGCTGCTCTTCTTCTTTTTTTTTTTTATCTGCTTTCCTCACACAGATTTAAGAGAGACTGACTTTTGTCTGAATAGTAGGTTGATTGTTACAGGTGTTACCCACAAGTGGCAGCACAAACAAACAACTTCCAGTTCTAGTGTTGGGTATAGGGAGGAGCCATTCGACTAGGATTCCAGTTTTCACTGTCCTGTGAAAACCCTTTGGGGTAGCATGTATTTTTTCCCATGCCCTTATGTAATAGGCTTTTTTTATTCATTGCACTTTTAAAACTTGTAATGTGAAAAGTTGGTACAGATGTTTGTATGCATTTCCATGTTTTTCTGTACTGTTTTCATGCATTTTTATTTCTGCGATCGTGCTGCTTTCTTACAGATGTTTACACTTTTTCATTATTACATGATAAGTGATGTATATAGAACCGTTTTGTAAATAGTTTTAAAATAAAGCCTTACGGTTTACCTCTCGGGAACACGAAGTGTGATCTTTTGTGGCTTGTTATCTACTCTGCCTTTTTCAAGTCTTTTTTTGATTGTAGACAAGCAGGTTACTTGTTTCAGTACTTTCATTTTTTTAATAGTTTACTTTATTTTCTAACTTGGTCACCTTTTATAAAATACGTTCTTCTAATACTTTAAAGCAGATGTGTGGCAGACAGAAAATACTTCCATCTATAACCTGGCTATGTATTCATGGGCAATGCATTCATGCAGTTATGATCCAAGTACTGGTTTGCTGATTAAATAGTGACGGAACAGCAGTACACTGAAAAGGTCAACTCTAAGCTCTCCTCCTTTCAGCTAGCTCCCACTTTTGCAGTCTGGATCTTGATCTACAGAAGGCTAATATAAAGACAGTTTAAGGTATTATTAAAAAATAGGATTTTTGACTTCTCTTTTTGCTCAGCAATAAGCCATGGAGGAGGAGTCCTCAAGAAGTGTGACCATTTCCATTGTGGATCCAGCCATACTTTCCTTGGCAAGCTACAAATGGTTTCTGTTGAAGACATCCCAGTTTAAGGACCCTATGAATAAGTGACTGAATGTCCTTTCTATGGCCTTGTTCTCTTGGTGGGCCCTGCAACCAGCCATCGCTTCATGTCTATTTGCTATTTCTTGGGTGTCCACTCCGAAGACATATCCAAAGAACTTGGGTCTATCTCATGGGTGTGGAAAACTTTGAACATCTTTACAGTCGGTGATGGCAGCCCAATCGCTTGTATGGTGCCAGGGAGAGTTTGTTCCGCCACCACGCTGGATATCCCAGGCATCGCTGTCCCCTGGGCGGGCCCAGGACCAGCACGACAGCTCTCTGCACTTAGATCGGAGGGAGTCAGCACAGTTTCCCCAGCTGATCTCCTCTCTGACACTGAACCTGGAAGCGTATTACATCACTTCCGGTTTCAGTGTGTAATTTTTCTGGTTATTATAGCTGATAAAGCACGATCAGGTTTTTTGGGGTCCCCAGTCAAGTTTGTCAAGTCCATCTAAATCTGCTAGTTCAGGGCCCAAAATTTCCGCTCGCATTTGGCAAGCAAAAATAAGGTGAGGGTGAATGGAAATTTGGGTCTCCAAGTACCGGTCCGCGGCCCAACACATGTTCGCAGACCGCATACCTGACTTTAGAAGTGTATTATTGTGTTTTAAGCTGGCCATACACCTTACAACCATCGCACGACTTTCGTTATGCAATGGCTGTAAGGTTATTAAAATCTCGTACGATCTGCCCATCTTGGACAGGCAGATCGTACTTGCAAGCCCTCCCCGCTTAGGGGACTTTTTTTTTTCTCCCCTCTGAGCTTTGATTAACAGTAGACTGCTAGAACCT